TTCATGTGTACTGTCTAGTTCTAGAACCAGTAGCAGTAACCAGACAACCAGCACAGCATCAGGAGGAGCATGCCAGACAACTGTGAAGGTTTGGGGTTTTTCTCAGGTGCGATCGACCGGAAAGGTGTTTCCTGTTGAAATCTGTAAAGCAAGCACTTTGACCAGATGTCTTTTGAGAAAATCATAGCTGCACTGTTAAGCAGTCGGCCGTGCTTACTGTTTGAGGGTGTGAAAGCAGTTAAATCCCTGAGCAGACTTTTCACTCCAGAGTCAACTTCTCCTTCCCAAGCAATTGCTTTTTGTGTGTTCATTGTATGTTTTTACTTTGCCAGTTTATTTTGCTCAGGGCAATACTTGAGATTTGGAAGAAAAGGTGGTTCTAATGGGTGAATCAAATGGCAAATAGTTGTTTTCCTTTAGTAGAACTAGGGAAGCCCTTGCAGATAAGGACTGAAAATATTTATTTGAAATAGAGGAACATTTCTTATGTTCAGAAAAGATTCTTTATTGTTCTCTGCCTGGATTCATTTTTTGGCCCTGTTTTTTGCAAGTTTCCACATTGTTATTTCTTAGTCTGGACCGACTGTTTGGTCTGGCAGGTCACTTTTTTATTTCTTTATATCACTGGTAAGTGAATGCAACATGGAGCCTTGATGAAATTGCACTGTGGGTACATAAGTATATATGTCTTTGTTTATGCACTATTAGATCTGAAGGTGCTGTACATAGAGTTTTGTTTTGGAGCAATATTTGCAAAACTTGAAAACTTCTGTATCTTCGTGTTTGGAATAAATAAATAGGTTTTTGTTGGTTAAGTCTTAGTAAAGTCTTTGTTTCAATTAATGATTATTCAGTAAAATCATTTTGGGTATTTTTTCTTCACATAGCATTGAAATGCAGGTGCTGTAGTTTGACAGGAATATAGATCTTAACTGTCCCTAAAATATGGAAATTATTGTTTTCCAGATCTGTCTCGTATAAATATTCGTCATAGATAAACTGTTATGTATTGTTTTATGTTGGATATTGTTTTAGTGAGGAGCCTGTACACTTTATTCCCAAATCCTAATATATATAATACAGTAGAGGCTGGTAGATGTAACCCGACCCTAGTTTTTGTCCCTGTTTCCATGAATCGCCTGTCGGGGCTGCTGCTGAGCACTTGGCAGCCTCGATGAGAGAGGGGCAGCTCGCTCCTCCCTCTGCTGATTCCTTTCACAGAAGATGAGTGTTGCAGGTAGGAAGGGGCTCCAACCAGCACAGCGCAGCACTGTAGCATCTGGAAGAGTCTGTATGAGACCCCTGGTGGGAGACGGCCGTGCAGCCAGGATGCTCATTGCAAGAGTGCCGAGACCTGGAGGCGTAGTGTCCCTGAACGGTTCCTAAGACGGGGTGAATTAGGGCAAGTGCTGTCAGCTGTCCAGTGCAAACTGTGGAGGAAAATATGTAACTTCTGTACAGTTTTCAGGTGGAAATGTGTTTTACCTGCCCGCTAGCAGTTGAGTCTCAGGTAGGCTTGGGGGGGTTGCGCTGGAAGGGGACAACACATCTGTGACATTCTCCTGAAAGCTGCTGTCATACTGCTGGGTAGCAGCAGCAGGCTTGGCATAGTAGCTGGGTATTTATTGTGTGAGGGAGTACTGCTTTAGCATTAATGCCAAGGAGGGAGCTTTTAATGTATTTGAACAATCCATTAAGAGAAATAGGTGTAGGAGGAGGAGAAGCTGGGAAGAGCGGGAGGGGAGAGTACCTGGCACAGAGTGTGCCTGAAGGCAGGGGCAGGCATCACTGTGCATTCAGATGCATGTCTGCTTCTATCTCTTCCCTCAGTTTTGCCAGTAGGAGGAGAACAAGTTTATTTCCTTGTCCTTTCTAATTTCTTTGTCAAAACAAGATTCCTGTAAAATTCCTGGATTTTAAGGCCAGAGGGTGCATTACTCTGCTAGAGCCTGGCCTGTGAAACGTGGAGAAACTTGTGCCATTGATGGGAGATCCAGGCTTGGGTTTCGTGGTTCGGTCAAGTTGTGTAGGTTTTGCTGATCACTTAAATGTCAAAGTAGGATTTTGAAGATGGGATCTGAATTTGGAATTACTTAACGAACTGTGTGCTGTGGCTAGCCATGTTTCTGGGAATACATTCCCTCTGATTTGAGCTTGTCCAAGCTCCCTATTTTACTTGCTTGATTCTTGTAGGGGCGGACTCTCACATCAGGAGGCAGTTGCTAAATCATCTGTCAGCGTCCATCTGGGTGGATTCACCTCGAAGTTCCTCAGCCTTAGAAATAATGTTCTGACTGTTATTTGACTAGAATATCATCTCTTCTAATTTACATGATCTACTATTGATCATCGTCCAGACTGTGGATCTCATTCATGCTCAGTTTGATGCCAGAGTAACATCCCTGCGGCTGCAGCATCAGATTGCTAAAGGGCTCGTGACTGATACTTGATCTGTTTTTTTCCAATGGCGTTGTTGAGCACCTCAAGCTATTACATTTGTTTAGAAGAGTATTTCATATCTTCATACTAATCTGTCAGTATTTGCATAGCAACTCTCTTGGGAAGGGGAAAAAACTACATACAGCTCTTGTCTGGTTAATACCTGCCCAGCTAGCCAAAAAAAGTCCATGTTCAAATAGGCATGTAGTTAAAAACAGAAAATACCATGCTTTTTTTCCTGTTGGAACATACATGAGGACAGCAAAACTGAGAACAAAACAACAAAAAATCTGGAATTCATCATGTTCTGCCTGCAGGGTGTTTCTGCTGGTGGTATTTGTGTGCCATCGAGGTGTTGCTGCCCATAGTCTTTTTGGTTAACGCTCCACACCAAATTTTTCAGGACAGCATGGGCCCTGTTTCCCGTTGTTTAGAGATGTTGGGTGCACTGGGCTCTGCAGGAGGAGTGGAGGAGTTGCATGCACCTCCTGAGGTGTGCACACCAGCTCAGGATGTGCACACCACTCCTCTCCTCCTCCAGAGCCTTCAGACTGGGATGATTTTAAGTTATGCAGATTGAGTGTGTACACTGTTGCAGGGACACAGAGGGAGGGACCTGCTCCTGAAGTGGTGAGTTTCCGTATGCTCATGTGTCAGTTGGAGTACTGGTTTGCTGAACACCACACGGAACCTAGACTCCCAAAATGGCTCTGTCCTCCGAATAGAGGGCCAAACCTACCAGAGATACTTGGGCTATTTTGCAGCTCCTCCAAATACTGTCAGAAGTCCCTTTGATCCCAGCAAATGCTTGGTGGCTGGTTTTGTGGAAGAGATGCTCAGTTTGGTTGCAGGTTGGTGAGGGGGCTTGTAGGGCGAGGTTGCACATCTGGATGTCACTATGTGCTTGCCACTCCAGAGGAGGTTTGTGACAGAGCTTGGAGGAGGTCGGTGCTGTCCACAGTGTGGCTGATCTGGCCCAAGTGGCCACAGCTCTGCAAGCTCGGGGGAGAGCATCTGAGCAGCTCCTCTTCTCATGAGCACCACTGTGAGGGACAGGCAGCAGCCCTCGCCCCTGCTGGGGCTCCCTGGCTGCCCACCCCTGGGCGGCTGAGGCAGCTGGCAGGTCCTCTGCTGCTCTGGCACCGCTGGGCCTGTCCCTTCACAGCTTTGCAGCCCCTGCCCTCCCATGTCTGGGGTGAGAGCTGCTGCTGGGAGGAGGTGTCAGGACCTGCTCTCTGCCAGCGGTTAAAAACCTGGGTCGGCATCTGGTTTTGTGCCTGTGACGTTAACTGGAGCTGCGGTGTTTAACAGCGGGAGGCAGACGGTAGGATGGCAGCCCCCCCGGCTGGGATGGCACCCCGGGATCCCCCTCAGCAGCAGCCTCTGCTGGGCAGGGTGCCACCACCCCGCTGCTCTCGGGGCCCGTGAAGATGTTTGCCAGTGTAAGTGAAGTGTGACCAGAAAAACGGAGCTTTTGGTGCTGGTTAGAGAGCTGCCCTAGGGCTGGAAAGGAGGAGGGCGCAGAGGCCTTGGGGCAGGATTGAGATAGGCTTTCCAACCAGATATTTTCCATCTTGTCAGGTAATAGGAGGAGCAGTTTCTTGACTGTGGCTGCCCTCTAGTCTGAGGTAGAGCCATCGCTGTAGTGTAGAAGCATGGAACACCCTGGGTCCAGGTTGGAAGTGGAGGAAGGAGGCCCAAGAGCTGGCCTTTGTTCACACAGTGTGGGTTAATGAGAAAGCAAGCAAAACCCTCTGAGCTGCCTTGGTGGCCCCAGGGGTGACAACAACAGGGTCAGCTGGCAGCAGGGCAAAGCCAAGGCTGAGGGATGAACCCTGACCTGTGTCTTATGCTGGACAGACACCTGGGCTCTGCTGACCACTGAGCAAGCCTGAAAAGCTTCAGGCTGCTGTGTGGAAGGAAGTGGAAAAAGTGATGGTGGACTTGCAAGAGCAAGCTTGTCAATGAAAAAATGCAAAATGAAGAGGAGATTTGAGCATGTCAGAGGCAGAAAACCTGCAGTTGGGGGGTGCCCTACTGCACCAGCCTCTGGGCGCAGAGAAAAGGAAGGAAGAGATGTCACCAAGCAGCAGAATTGCTTCTGCACCAGTTCTCACTGCAGAGGAAGCTTTGTGTGCTTTCTCCAGGCCCTGCTTTGCTGATGCGGGGCTGTTTAAAGCGAAGGCTCAGGAGTGTTGCTGTTCTGAGGCATTTCTGCCGCTCTTAAGGTCCCCCTCCAGACCAGAGGTGTAGCTTAGATCAGAGTTGGACAGGAATATTTGCATTCTGCATTTTTAGATCATCTGTTGCTCTTAGAATAGCACTTGTGATGTTAAATACTTTTAAACCTCTAGGGCTCATTAATTTGCTGTAAGAGAGTTGGCTGAGGACCAGACCTGATCTGTGGCTGTCGGCTCACCCCAGGTTGAGGAGAGCTGGCAGCGTGGCTGGGGGTTGGGGTTGACAGCCATGGCAGGAGCAAACCCCCCCGGGATGTGGTGGGTGGAAACCTGCCCCGTGAGAGCAGCTGGCAGTTCACGATTCATTCACAAACTCTCAGCTGTGAACAAGATGCCCTTTAATTACGATATTGTAAATGGCTATTATTACATGTCCAGCAGGATCCTGTTTTACGGACCTTAAACCCAGTACAATCCATGTGTTAAAAGGTTTAGAAATCAGCTACTTCAGGTGCAGCAAGAGGCTGTTTTTTCTGGGCTGCTCTGCTGGTCCCAAGCGGCAGGGGGAGGGGGATGAGTGATAGCAAAAGGGTCTGTGGCTGCTGCTCCCAGGCACTGTCCTGCACAGATACCTCACCCCAAATATGTTTCTGCAGGAACTCGATGTGTCTGAGGGCATGGGGTTGTTTCCCCACCTGGGCCAGGCTTCGGCTTGTTGGGTGTTTGCATCCCATTTCCGTGCTGCTGTGGGAACGCAGGTGGGGCAGGGCCCCTTCTCTGTCCATCCCCTGCTTTGTCCTCCCGTGGGTGCTGGGTGATGCTCAGGATGCTCAGACATCACGTCCTAAAGCTCCTGGCTTTGGGGAGGATGGGCCCTTGGTGCCTGCACTCCCCTACCTTGGTCTGGGCTGCCCGTGCCCGCGGCCCCCAGCTCCCACAGCACCAGCAAGGAATGGTGACTGAGACCAGGTGAAGGCTGTGATGAGGGCTGGGTGTCTGCTGTGGGGCCGTGGCCATGTGGGGCCCTGCCCTCAGCTGGTCTTTGCCCCCTTCCCCGCGGGCCCCTGCCCGGGGCCGGCTGTCTCTGTCAGGAGGCGGTAGGAGCGGATGGCTTCCCGCAGGCCCGGGCTGATGGGAGAGTCGTCCTCGGGTGGGGATGTGGCCTCCGAGGACAGGAGGGAACTGCGTGAGGGTGGATGGGGCAGTCAGCACCAGCCCCCAACCCCCTGAATGCCTGGCAGGGGCAGTGGGGGGCAGCCCCAGCCCCTTCCTGGCTGTCCCTACCTGTTGATCTTGTCCCAGCAGAGTGGTTTCTTCACAACAGCGGGCACGGAAGGGACGGGGGCCACCCCCACCCTTTCCATGGAGCAGGGCTCTCTCAGGAGGCAGCGCAGCCCCTCTCTGAACTCTGGACGGGGAGGCAGCAGCGTCAGCGGGGTCCCCCCCCAGCCCTGGGCACACCTAGGCAGGTGGGGCACCCCTCCTTCACCTGCAGGGCACAGGGCACCCCCCCCCCCGCCAGACTGGGGGTGCTGGGGGGCTGGCGTGGCGTTACCGGAGTAGTGGTCCACCAGGGCGTGCAGGCTGGGGAAGGTGAGGCGGGGTGAGATGTAGAGCCAGCCGTTCCCCAGCGCGTGGATGCTGTAGTGTGTCACCGCGTCCCAGGAGGCGCGCTCAGCGTGCCGTACCGACAGGGAATAGCAGCCTGCAGGGGCGAGGTGCTCGGGGCGAGGCTGCCGCGGGCACGCAGCCCCACTGCCCTGCACTCCCCACACTGGGGCTTTTATTGCCCCACAGGGGTGACCAGCAGTCCCCTTCTCGCCATGGGGCTGGCCCGGCTGCGTGCATCCCTGTGCCGGCCGTATGCCATGAGCCCTTCCAAACTGGGGTGTGGGAGAGGGCTGGGACAGGGGCTGACCTTGAGTAGCTGCTGGCCGTGTCCCATGCGCTCTCAGCATCAGCTGCTGTGTCTCTGTGCCTGTCTCTGCTTCCAGGGATGATGCAGGGACGGGCCCTCCCCAGCCCCGCAGCCCCCTCGGCGCCCAAGCAGCCATGGGACCAGGGTGTGCTGTGCCAGTGCCCCAGCTCTGTGCCCTGGGGCAGCCGGTAGGATCTCGCAGGGGCCCCTTTACTTTCAGAGGCTGAGCCTTTTCCCTTCTCTGCTTAACCAAAAGCTGCAGGAAGCCTGCTGGTGTTTTTTTCTTTTGAGGCCCCGTGACAAAGGCGGAGGCTCAGCACGAAGTCGGGAGCAGCAGCACCAGAAAACCGCCACGCAGGGCAGGCCATTGCCACCACGTGTGAGCGATGGAGGATCAGCCCCACCAGGGCCCCACGCATGACCTCAGTACCCCAGTGGGGCTGGCCGGGAGGGAGTACTCACCTTGCCTGGTCTGGCTTTCCCGTATCAGGAAGGACCCACTGCGGTTGCCTGGCTGGAGCAGCAGCTCCTCTGCCTTCTGCCTGCTGACGCCCTCGTACAGCCACCTGCACAGGCAGCAGGCACGAGCAGAGCCTCACCCAGCTTTGCAGGGACACCCAGCCCGTCAGGGCCTGTCCTGCCCCAGCCAGGGTGGAGGGGACAGCTTGGGGTATAGCAGTGCCCACCCTGGGGACACCCTGGCATGCTGTGCTGCCTCCCCGAGCCCCAGCACTGCTCCACGGCCCAGGGAGAGAAATAGGGCAGGACACTGGCGGCTGGGGTTTGGCCTCGGGCTTGGCCAGGCTGGCTGTGGTGGGGGCATGTTCCCTGGGGCCCATTCTGGGACAGACCCTCCCCAGCATTTACCTGTGCCTGACCTTGGCCACGCAGCTGCTGGGGACGTGGCACTCCTTGCCAGACACCTTGGACACCACCAGCCACCACTCACCGTCCCTGGGGGGAAGGGGGATGAGCCACCATCACGGCCCTGGGGGGCTGCACGCTGGTCAGTAGTACCTGCTCAGTGGGGGCACTTACTCGGCGAGGATGCGGAGCTGCTCCCCCATCCTCAGGACCGTGGCTGCCCCCGTGCCGGAGGGGAAGTCGCAGAGGGCCAGGGCCAGGGGGCTGCAGGGGGCTGCGGGGAGGGTGGGGGGGCTCAGAGCTCAGCCCCAGGAGCACAGCAGGGGCTGCTGGCCAAGCTGGCGGCGCTCCAGTGCTTACCTGCCTGCGGGGGCAGTGGGGGCTGCAGCGTCTTGGCAACTGCTGGTGGGGCGCTGAGTGGCCTCTCACGGCTGGGCTGGCTCCCCATCCCTCGGGCTCAGCACGCGCCCTGGCCCTGCGCTTCAGCTGCTGCCAGCGGGAGGGTGAGCTGAGGCTCAGGCCCAGCACCAGCAGCACCCTGGGCCCCGGGCAGGGGGGTCGGCCCCTGCAGAGCCACGAGCCCTGGGGCTGGGGCTCAACCTGATGGGCAGCTCCCCTGGGAATCCTTCAAGGAATCCGCCTCCTCCCCACCCTAGAGGGTTTCTGGGGACTCGTGGCCACAGCTGGGGGGAGCTGGGGGCCCCCTCCACAGCACAGGGCATCCACCTCCCCATGGTGGGCAGCACCTGGCCACGCGTAACCACCGACTGCTGCTGTCCTGCCCCACCCCAGCATGTGGGGCACCTTGTCCCAACACCCCAAGCCACTGGTCCCCATGGGGAGCTCAGGGACTATGGGGACACCCCGCCGCCTGTTTTGGTTCCTAGGCCATGGAGCGGTGCAGCCAAAGCTGTGTGTGACCCAGACGTGCCCCAGGCTGATACACCTCCCCCCTCCCCCCCCCCGGCCTGCCCCTACCCTGAGCAAGGGGCAAACCCCACTGACCTGCCTCTGGCTGCCGTCACCGTGGTGTGGGAGCCATCGGGGCTGGTCTCTGCCCCACGGGGGTGTTGCACCAGCACAGTGGGGCCTCAGGGCATCCAGGTTGCAGGGGGTCCTGCTGCCATGGTCGGCCTCCCTCATGCAAGGCAACCAAGGGCCTCACAAGAGCCGGTTGGTTTGGCCTTGTCCTGCTGCTCTAGGGCTGGGCATTGCGGGCGCTGGAGCTGGGGCTGCTCCTGGCAGTGCTGCCGGCGCGGGGTGTGAGGCTCCGGGGCTGTGGGCTGCTGGTGTTTCCCGTGACGTGCATGCGCATCAGAGTGGGGCTTGGTGGTTTTTTTTTTTTTGGTTTTGTTTTTTTTTTTTTCTCTTTTTCACTCAGCCAACAAGTTGCTCAGCTGTGCCCCTTGTGCGCCCTCAGTATGGGGCACAAGGCCTAAGGAAAAAAAAAAAGCCCTGAGGGCACTCAAGGCACTATGGTCTTCGCACAGGATCAGGGGACGTGGGTGGGGGATCGGGAGCAGCGCTGACCAGGGCTGGGTGGTTGAGGCTGGACGGGCGCTGACCTCAGCCAGGACAAACCCCCAGTGGGGTTCTCGGGGTGTCGCCGCAGCTCAGCACCTCCCAGCCCTTGCCCTTGGGATGCAGCATGGTGCTGCGCGTGGTGCGACGGGTGAGCTGCTGCCCAGCTGCGCCGGCCGGGTTCCCTGGGGGAGCAGCCCCATCTCTGCCACCCTCAGTCCCTGCCGCAGCCACCAGCAGCGCTGTCCCCCGCCCAGGCCAGAACACCCTGATGCACACACACACCCCCCCACACACCCACCCCTCCCCACCCTTCAAAAAAGTCCTTGGGATTTGCTGTGGGCACCCGTGCTGCCAGCCTGGGCTGGGGCCAGCTGTGCCGTGCTGACACTTTACACCCCCCCCCCCCCCCCAACCCCCGCGCTTCCTGCCGTGCCTCTGCTCCAGGGCTCCCGCTCCAGCCACACCACTGCGCTGAACATCCTCCCGCTGTTTATGCTGTGACCTTGAAAGTTCCTGGTCAATCATAAACCACCGTGACAGCGGCAAGCTGCCATGCCCTGGGGCCTTGCACAGCTGTTGGGGTTCAGTCCTGGCCCCCCCCCCCGAGCTTGGACACTTCTGGCTTGCAAGTAATTTGCTCCTGGAACTGGTGGTGAAGACCCACTGGGGTCCCCAGGGACGTGGGGGACAATCCTTGCTGTGCCACAACCTGTCCCAAATGTGGTTCAGCTCCCCAGAGCCCAGCTCTGTGCTGCCCTGCACCTTCTTGGTTTAGTGCTGGTAAACAAAACGGGTCCCCCCTCCCCAGCCTGAACAGTGAGGCTGAGCAAAGGGGCTTTATCTTAATGCGTGGGTGGGAATGTGGGCACACAGGGCTCCCAAAAATGTAACCATGGGTTTCTCTGGCCACAGGCCACACCAGGAGCCTTCAGCAGAGCTGGGCTCAGTGAGACTCATCCTCGTGCTGCCAAAAAAAAAAAAGGATGCACACTTTCACCGAGACAAAGATTTGGGATCTTGGGCTGGGAATGGCATTGACTGAGCTTATCCCAAGGTTTTGAGCAACTGGGAGTTCAGTCCTAAGGGCATGGGGGAGCTGGAAAGCACCGGCTCCATCTGCCTGCTCACTCCCAGCCCAGCCTTTCCGACTCCAGCCCCAAAAACGAGGTCTAGGAACCACTGGTATTTCACAGGGGCCCACTCTAACCTCAGTGCTGCCCCTCCAGCTGTGGAAACACACCCGTGTCCCACCCAGGCAGCAGGTGCCCCGCTCCTCTCAGGGCAGCCACTGGAACCAGTGCCGGGTGGGTCAGGATCCCAGCCCACGGAAGCCTGTCCCAACCTCAAGCTCTGCTCCTGGACTGGGTTGGCATTGCTCATACCACCCAAAGAAACCCTTTGTCCTTTATATCAAACTCATTTATCCACTTGTATTTAGCTTTGATTTTTGTATTTTTTACCAGGAAAAGCACTTTCTTATGTGAAAACAAGTTTATATTTTCCAGTTATATTTAGGTTAATAAAATATATGGCAACCCTTACTCCAAATCTTGCCTTGCTTATGCCTAGGAACCACCACAGCAACAAAACTTGATTCTTAATCACCCCCCCTTCCAAATTGCTAAAATCTCATCTGTTTACTCTCCTGGGTTCCTCAGCCACAGGCAGCGTGCAGCTCTGAGCTCTCCTGCTCTACATCGTAAACAGTTCTCAGCTCACACCAGCCCCTGCTGTGGTATTATTTCCTCTAACTCATTTCATTGTCATTTTAATATTCTGTTTGCTTTTCCTTCCGTCTGGTGCTGTATTTTCATAAGGGAACTCAAGGAAGACTAATTTCTCAGTGTGGTTAGCTGGCATTAAGTCACAGTGCTGCATGAACATCAGCTCTTCTCTTGCGTATGTTTGCTTTGCATCCAGCACTTGCATTCAGCACCAGTGAACTTCACCTGGTACTCAGTAGCCTGGTCTCTTTGACAGTCTCTTCTATAGACTCAAACTTGTATTTTTGTTCATTTATCACTTTGTCACTTCACTACTCGCTCATTAATCTAACTGGCCAATTTTTCCCATTTCTCACCTTTCATTCCATGTGCAATTCATAAAAACACTTTGTCTCACTTCCTGCAATGACCTCCCCAAGGGTCATCTGAAAGTCAACGCAGGAGGCTGCAGGAGCCCACCCCACGGGCACAACAGCAAGACTAGGACTAATCTGTGAACAACAGTTTAACCTCTCTTCAGTCCCAGGTAGCTTTCTGTGACAGTTAAGATGACAGACATCTGAAACTTGAGAGCAAAAGCTGGATCTGAAAAGCAGATGTTTAACGGTTGTGTTACATGACTGGCTGCTGCAGTTGCCCCACCTGCACCTGGCTGTGTGCAGTGGGCAGACGGAGGAGGGACCTTGTACGGAGGCGAGACCGGAGTTAAAACCTCACCCCGATGTGATGAGTCAGTCTCTCTTATTTACCCAAATAGCCCCAAGATATACAGGGCCAGACTGTCCTGCCCTCTCTGCTTTACAATCTATTGGCTAAAGGCACTTATCACACACCCAGAAGTGCTGTGATAGGTCTGCATCATTAGTACACGTGTACAAACTAAATCTACTTTGTGGTTAGTGTATCTGGGCATTCGAGCAAGAAGGAAGCACTAACTTGACTTCCTCATTCTTGCCCTTCCAGGTGACCCCAAGGGCAGGATTACCACGGGGCAGTTTTCTGCTCAGAGACCCAGCCTGGATTGTCCAGACCCTGTAGGATCAGTGCATGACCCTGATCCCCAAAAAATCCTACCACAGGCAGACATGCAAACAGACCTCACGCTGCCTTCCAAACTGCCCCCTGCCTTTTCCTGTCACGACTGGTTTGCCACAGCGTTTACAGGTTAACTTGCTGTTATACCTGTAAAACATGCTGGAGCAGAGCACTGCCCACCAGGGAACGCAGCTCCTGGCGCTCACTTCGGGAGGCAATTCTTGGCAGCAGGCCTGCTTTGCAGCAAACCTGTCGTTTAGTTTCCACTCCGTGGAAGCTAGAAGTTTCTTTTGGCGTTTTCGCAGAAGCCAGCTCCCCTCTGCCTGCAGGCAGCCCTTTCCAGGGACAGGAGGCCACCCAACCACCCTGCTCCCGCACAGCTGCAAGGGGTGCCCGGTGCCACCCCTTCCATGGGGAAGAGCTTGCCTCTCGCAGCAGGAGACACCAAACCTGACAAAACCAGCCAGGGTGTTGCCTTGTGCCAAGAGAAACAACACGAGCACACAGGGTAACAATGAAACTCAGTTATAGCTTTATTTAATAACTGGTACAAAGTGCCCCTCAGGCAGAGCCTCTCAGTGCCATTTCCTACCTGAAATGGAGCAGAACATGAGTGTGACCCCCAGAGGAGCTGGCTCCCATTGCGTCAGGGCTGCTCAACAGTTAAGAAGGGATGTTTTTGCTCATCTATCACGATCTGTAGTAGCCTGACCACTCGTCCCTTTTCTCCCATTAACAGCTAGGCCCTGGCATGCAGCAGGCGTTTGCCTCCTGCCCTCTGTGACCCGGGCCAGATGTAAAACGGCAGCAGAACTGTGAATTCCACAAAGACAGTAAACAGTACCTGCACAGAGGCATTCACTGCTCACACTTCTGACCTGACTCACATGGACGTGCATCTGCTGGCCATAATTTACATTCACTGGTATTTCCTGAGCCTCTGTTAAAACCCTGTGCACACATCCTGCCTGGGGCTGGCAGCAGTGGGAAGCAGAGCTGGCAGTGCAGGAGATTCCTGGATCTCCACCTGGCAAGGGGCATTGCTGCCTGTTTCACAACCTACTTGATGCTGAAAATTCACCCGTGCCAGGGTAGAATAGTGACTAGGTGTTAACTGCATCTGGCCCTTCTGCAGGAGAGGCAGAGAGGGTCAGCAGAGGGGGTGTGGAAACCAGGGCTGCTGTGGTTTAATCCCTTGTACTCGGTTAATAGTGCACCTCGGTTAGTGCAAGTTTACTTGTTAATTGCTTTGCCTTTTCAGGAGGCTCAGGTAAGAAATCACTCTGCTCCTTCTTAACACACATACAGAGATGAGACCAAGTATTTCTGACCATTTGTTTTCCCCACAGCTGCCTGGCATGCCAAGGGTCCTGGGAAGGCAAAGACCTTCTGGTGGGTTCTTGCACTCCAGGCACAGACCTGCCAAAGGACATTGCCTGCTCCAGCACCTGGAGTTTTATGTCATCGTGGTCTTGCTTTCCCACATCCCACAGATGCCATACCAACTGTACCACAAGGGTCCTTTAGCAGAAGCACAACTAGAAAGCAATTCTAAACCTCACAAAGCCACAGAAGTTATATTTAAATGAACAGAGGAGACAACGGCTGTCATCTGGATTGATATACAGCACAGACAGGAGATGTATCAGCATGTACAGTAATGTGACTTACTAAGACCACGGAATGTTAACGAGTTTTAAAGAGGCTCTGATGCCAGGGGCATACAGAAAAGGACCAAAGTAATGCCAAGTACAGACTACCAAGGAGGTGGCAGCTCAGATGGGCATGCACAAGTTAGAGAGAACAGTTAATGCCATGTTGGATGAAATGCTAGATTCTGAGTGGGTTCAGAGGGGGCGAGTGGAGTTGTCTGAATCCAGAGGAGGGGCTCCTGCCTAACAGGACACTTCCATGGTTTGAGGTGCATCCTGGAGGTCGATTCCTTCTGGGGTTCCAGCACTTCCTTCACCATAGTTGCTAGTATGAGACCGGCTGCGGACGCTCTCGCCGGAGCCCACGCTAGAGGAGGAGTGAGTACGGGAGCGCATCAGCCTGGTCATACTAGCTGCTGGCACTGCAAGAAAGAACAAGTGTGGGACTTAGGAAAGGAGGAAGTTCCTAGAGCAAGTACCACAGTCACTCAGATACGTGTCACTGGGTAAGCACAGAAAAAGCTATACCCTCGGGAAGAAAATTCACTCTTCACTGCCAAAATTAAGTCTTTGCACGTCTAAAGCAAGATGTTTACAGCCCAATTTCAAAAGGTCCAAGGTGAGCAAATGCCAGAAGTGTAACTGATCGTTTCCAAGTGCAGTCACGGTGAGTGTCTGTGCAAACCAAGGCAGCTGTTGTACAGATGACCTTTTGAAAGTCAGTCTCGTCACTCTAGAAAACCACAGAGCTGAAGTCATGCAACAATCAACAAAGTACAAATGAAAGGTGAAAACCATAGCATATACACATTTGTACTATGGATCAGCCTAGCCCACAGCAGGCCAGCAGGACATGCCAAGACAGAGCAATGCACCCGAAGAATCATTCAACTCAGTACACAGACTTGGGCCGAGGCAGATGCACAGTTGAAGGTACCTGACTCAGTGCTTAGGTGGCTGAGCTGCACATAAGGGACTGGAAACAACATGAGACAAGGAGAGGGATGAATACAGGAAAGAGCCAATTAGTTGTGGTGTGTGACTAGCAGCTGCACTGCTTCTGGGATCCCCAGCCATCTTCCCTTCTGCTCTCAGCTCACACACTGCGCTGAAAGCTCCCAATATTTGTGGAAACAGCTGCTAATGAGCATGTCAGGGAGATGCCAAGCTGACTTAAAAATCCATCAGGGCCAGATCTCTTCGATGCCTTTAGCTGGCAATTGCAATGTACCCGGCGATCCTACCTCCCCACTGTACACACCAGAGCTGCTCAACAGAGATACCATTTTCCTATGGTAGGGAAATTGGGGTATCCTCTGTAACTCCAGATACAGAACAGAAATTTGTATCTTTCCCTGAGTTGACAGCATCAAATTTCTGCTACAAGCATCCTGCAAGACATTACCTTCCACTTGCAGTGTCAGCACAGGCAGGTCCAACTGTTTTAGCCAACATGCACAAGGCACAAGAATAGCTGTTGAGGAACTGGCTTGTGCATTTCTAGAAATGGGAAGCTACTGATTTTCTTCTCTTTTCCCCGAGAGAGGAGGCCTTGCTGGCCAAGCTCAGCAGTGCCAACACAGTCTTGACCACCAAAGTTGGGAAAACCATTCTGGGACTAGCTACTAATTCTGGAAGTAGAAAATTACACCTTGTCCTTCCCCAGTGCTGTGCATCCTATTTGCAAGAGACTGCGCCCCCAAAGTGCTGCTGAAGTCCTTGCTCTGATGACAGCACTTGCTGACTTTACTAATACCAGGAACACAAGAGACATTAACATGGAAGTGCTCTCAGGCTGTGAGGTTGAGGAAGCCTTCTCACATGGCACCTTCCTCTGCAGGATCAGGCTCTTCTGGCCAGCCTTGGAGAACACAATTGTCCTACTATGTTTATGTCAACTTCGCACAGCTCTAAGGAAAAGGACAGCTTTTTCTGAGCCCTGATGCCCATGAGCTGGCAAAGAATTTCTGGCCGTGTGGAGACCACTGGGAGTGTCACAGCTGCCACAGTGACCATGCTTAGTGGTTAACCAGCCACATGAACTAACGCCTCCCATAATTCCAGCTGTTGAAGGTTCATCATCCACAGAAAAGACCTCCTGTGCCAAGGTGCTTTCAGTGGAGACAGAGGTGCTTTAGTGCACTGAGAAGCCCTCCTCCTGAAGTCCCCCAGTCTCTGGAGTACCAAGGACGAGGGAGCTGAACAGCTGTCAGGCTGACACACTCGGGAGACAACGTCTTTTGTGTCCAAGCACAAGAACCAAGCCGTGTGTGTGGCACTGGATAAAAGCACAGCTCCCTCAGGTCCCCCTGGGTGTCTCAGAAGTCACCCAGATCTCTGTTCTGCCATTAGACACTTTCATTTTGAGATATCACTTACCCCTCATGAGAGTCTGAAATAAACAGGTGTGTCTGAAGGGAAATGGCTCTCATGTACCCATCACGGCCATGAGGCTCTACTGCTAACTCCTTCCCCTCCAGAAAAGGTATACACAGATGATTTCAGAAGATTTACCATTCTTGGGAGCACACTTTTCTGGACTGGCACAAAGACGGACTTACAGGGTCTTACCAACACCAGCAACCAAAAAGGGGTCACCATTCCAGCTGCAGTGCAGATTAAACACATCAGGGAACAACACCGGTTTGCTAAGGCTTGTTAGCACACTAGCTGATTTACGGTGTGGATGGATCTCCTGACAACCACACTAGCTCATGGGTGGGGACACAGATGCCAATAGGCTCAGATGGACCAGGAAGGCTGAGTTCCCTTCACAACAACCCCCCCTCCAAACGGGTTAATTACGTCTGCCACTTACTGTAGCCCATTCCCTGCACAAAGTACTTGAAGGCTTCAGTCAGCTTGCCAGGCTGTGGAAACAGAAAGTGCAGCTTTAGTGCAAGCAGAGCAAGGGGCTCTGTATAACCCAAATGCTGAGAGGCATTTCTCACCTGAACCACCTGGGGCAGGCCCCCGCAGTCAGCCATCTGCAACAGGAAACAGAAGGGAGGTTGAAGTGTCCTTCCCACCCCAGGACAAGCCCAGACCCACACCAGCACTGCCCACCCCGCCGGGGCTGATGGCACCAGGCTGCACCACTACGTGAGGCACACTTCTACCACCCTGGCTGTAAGGGATCCTGGGGATACGTCTTCTGGGAGCCTGCTGCTGAAGGAACCCAGCACCTTGGAAGCTGCATCACCAAGCAATCTCAGGCCACACTCCAGAAGCCCAGGAGTGACCCTCCACCGTCCCAGCTCCTCCTGCCACTCTTCCCAAACCTGTCACTTTGCACTTCTATATAGCAGCTGTCTGGCACACTGCGGAGCCATACGTGAGGATGGGAAGGACTGGTATAAAGCTAGAAAAAGTGATGTTGTTGCTGGCAGAGAGCAGGGTGGAGGTAGGGCACCTCTATTAACTCTCAGCAGGTTTTCCCTGCCAGTGGAAGATAACAGAAAAATGGCAATAAAGCATGGATTCATGGACCCCCTGACAAACTTCTCTCCCAAGCCTGGCTCCATGTAGCAGAGAACACAGCCATGAACGTCTGTCCACAAACTTCTTAAAGCTAAATGTATGGAAGGCAAATAGCCAAGTGGAGCTGGCCTTGGCAAAAATTATGTCTTTGTGCAGGCTGGAATGATCCTGGAGTGGCACTCACCTTCAGAAGGGTAGTTTTGGTTGGGTCAAGACGTGAATTGCATTCAACCTAAAATAAAAGGGGGAAAGAGGGACATGATATCACACTGAAAACTTGAACAGTCAGGTGTAAAATGTGTGGCAGCTGCACCAGAGTCAGTGGCTATCTTCAGCAATGGGAGCTTCTATGCAGCCAGGAAGGACTGAGCAAGAAAGCAGAGAGCATGTAGGAAGAGAACAATGAATGAAGGATGCAGGAACAAAAGGCAGTTGTTCCCACCCATGGAGACCTCATGGTGACAGAATGTCACTGTTTTGAGATGAGGCTGTGACTTCAAGGGGAAGCATCCCCTGATTTTGGGGATGCACTATGAAAACCCTGGAGCACCTTCTGGGCTCTGACAGCAAGACTGGGAGGGGAGGAGAATTCTCTGCAGTGCACCATGGAAGGAGACCACTCAATCCCCTGGACAGACAAGGAGGCCATGGCCACCTCTTCTCTGTAAGGATGCTGCAAAAAGGACATAGGTGGAGGCCCTATAGGAAAATCAACCCCAGCAGGGGAGATTATCATGAGCTGGGAACCTGGGCAGCCACACAGGCAAGCCAAGATCCAGAAGACCCTATCCCATCCCCCAGCTGTGGCTGGGAAGCAACAATGATCCTCAGGGATAGTAACCCAGCAAAGTCAAAGCTTGAAGAATGTCTCAGACTTCCAGATCAAACAGACAGATGAAAAGGCAGCAGACCATGACCAGAAAAAGCTCTGCAGCAGTTCGCCATGAACAGTTTCTGGCTCCAACCTGCTGCTTTAGGAGACTCCTGTAATACTCTTCCATGGTTTCTTAAGACCACTGCTTTTGTTCACAAACCCCTGTTCTCCCCACAGTCACTGGCTGAAGGGGAGAAGCAACATGCACTACAACCACACTGCACTGTGCCATCCTGCATCTGTAATTGTGCTGAGAGGGAAGTGGGTTATAGGGTCTGCAGAGAAAAATAGGAAGGATGCTTCTCCGTGTTGCCTTGGCCATGTTGCAGTGCTTTTGCAGAGCTCTGTGTGACTCCCCACCACAGGAAGTGGAGTCACACTTCTTATTTTTAAACTCCAGGCAGTCTCAGTACAACAGCAAGAGAACAGTAATTCATGACTTGAACTGAACAACGGGCAGCAGCCTGGCCAAGAGTGGGGAAAGACGCAAGTCCTGAAAGGTGTCTTCTGCATCACTTGTTGAGCAAGGTGCTTGGGCACAAAGACACTTACTCAGATCCTGCCATCCTCCTCTTAGAGCTGCCCTGCAGGGCTATTAAGTCTCCCATGCCTCAGCTCTCCCTTTAGTGGCTGACAGGTCTCAATAGCTGGGGGACTAGAAGAGAGCTCTTGGGACAAAGAGCCACTTTCTGTGAGTAGTTCTGGGCAAGGTGAAAGCACTGCTGGGTAAGGCGGGTTGGCTAAGAGATTTGTGGAGCTGACGTCATGAGAGTTCACATATACATACCACTGCTTCTACAGCGGGTGAGTTGTCACCAACCACTAGCAAGGCAGGGCACCTGGTCAAAACCCAAAGCAGAGATGTTACTCACAGTGTATCTAAGGGATTTCTGAGAAGGTTGAGCTCTGTGAACCAACAGCCTCATGAGGAGTTAACAATGCTCAGCAAAATCCCTACCTGCCACACCGTGGCATTTTACTGCACCCAAACATCCTCCAGGGCATGCACATGCACCCATACCGTCCCCTCCATGCACACCAACTGCCACTACTGTTGCACAGGTTAAAAGTTGTGCCTAGGGCTGGGAGAAACAACATCCCGGGCTGCAAAAAGAAGCACGCTCTCTGAAATGCACATCTGTTAGGAATTTAAGAATAACCATATCCAAGAGACTTTAATGCTTCTGAGACTGGCTACTGCTCAGTACTGTATTTTGGTCTGGATTTTAGAAATAAACACAAAAGATGTTGGGGAATATACTGAAAAATGTCATGATTTCAAAGCCTCTCTTGGCAAATCTGTGCCTCCATATCCATTTTTATAGGTGTTCTGATTCTAGAAGAAAAATTAACATTCAATGTGTAAAACATACATGGGAGGTCACTGACCAAGTGGCTGTGAATTTACACTATTCATTTACAGATCAGGGTAAGAAAGGGGTGGCTAGAGGCCCCACTTTCATGTGTTGACTAGATGACAAAAATTAGACTAGAGAGGCTGTGAGCCACAGACCTCAGAGCCAGTGGAGTACCACCTCTGTGGAGACAGAGGATCTATCTGCAAGTCTGCTGACACAGAGATCCACACTTCCATGAGATATATTTCAAGGGTCTGCAGATTCCTGTGTCACTCAAATGGACAGACAGTGCTCTGTGGCTTACAGCTGCTTGCATGACAGAGAGCAGCACGACTGGCTTTGCCTGCAGATCAAGCAGCAAAATCCACACTTTTTAGGTTAGCCAGGATCTAGACAGTTTGGCTGAGGATGCCTAAAACATTCCTGGGACTGGCAGGAGCAGAAGTCCACACAATTTCCAAGGAGTGAAGAGCAGAGCCTGGGCAGTAGCCTCTAGCCCAGCCCAGGCATCCTGCCTCAGCACTGCAATTCGCAGTCTTCATGGGTACTAAATGTTGGAGATAATTTGCCCCTTTTGCTTTCTTGCTTAGAATCCAAAAATTTACTTATACTTCCCCTGTGCTGATTATCACCGGTTCTCCAGTGTCTGTCCCTTTTCATCTGTACCCTGCACAGACTATCCCCTCCCAGACGAAACAGTCACTGCAAGGTGGGAAAACACCACTGCATTCTCTGCATTCAGAACCCACTGCCACCTCTGGGAGAACTGTGCAGATAACTTTCTTCAGCAAGGTGGGGGAAGGCAGTTAGTGGTAACAAACAAAAACCTGCCTCCCTAATTTTTCGTGCAAAACAACCAAATAGCTCAGCAGGTACAGTGACTGCTGAGTGGATGCACTTACTCTTCTGACCCTGCTTTCTGTGTTCTTAATGGAGAAGCAGCTTTTCTGCTGAAGGGACTACACAGTAAGTAACAGACAGGCTGACTCAGAGCAACTTACTTGAGTGTTTTTGCGGTATTTTCACTGATGCCGAGGACTGGTCTCTCAATTTCCAGGTCTCTACGACTGAAAGACAAAACAGAACAATTCTCCATCAAATCAACAGAGGAAACTCGTTATTGTGGTAGCATACTATGGGGGTCGACAGCTGGGCGGGGGACCCTGAAGGGGACTGGAATGTGGATCCTGACTGGGTTCTCACCCTCGAACAGATAAAAATGTATCCTTAGTAGTTAGTGCAACATGCCCAGCTCCTGTTGAGTAACCTTGGGAGAGGGACAAAAGCTAACTGTACAATGCTTGCTAGAGTAACGTGGGAAAACACGAGAAACTGTAACACATGAAATCGCAACTGTAGATTTTTAGGGCATAGGCCGTAGTTACAGGAGGTTGATAAGGAAAAGGCCAAAAGAAATTAAGTTAGTTAAGCGACTGCCAATAGGCTGTGATCTAACTGCGCTGGCTTGCCTTAAGGGTTACAAAAAGTGTTTGAAAAAGGGCAATAAGAGAATAAATAATAAAAATCATCATCATTATTGATCTGCAACCGTAGTGTCATCTGTCCGTCTATACCACGACTGCATACAAAATCCAACCAGGAGTGATAGCTCCAGCACCCAGGCAACAGGTTACAACTCCCTGGGTCATGCCAGGAGCAAGAGCCCCAGCAGTCACTACCAAAAACCAGGATCCATGCTCTCATGGCAAGCTTGCTGTGTGCCTAGTGAGATGATCTACTGATGTGTGAAAGGGTCATCCAGGCACAATGGCTAAGCTTGGCTCGGGATGATGGCTGAAGACTAGGCTGAGGACAAAGGCTCATATGACATAATAGCCAATAGAGCAATACATATGGCAGCAAATCTACTGAGCAGGGAAGCTATGGGAGCAATCTAGCAGATAAAAACATTTCTGTACCTGTTGTATGAGGTGAGAAACAGCTGAAGGTTATCTTGGTTAATATCCTGTGCAATATGAAGCCTGTATGTTTGGATCAAATCTAGATTTGCTTGCAATTCCTCCTGTACAAAAGCAGAAAAACTGAAAGACTTAATTTTTTCATAAGTAAAGAAATGATACTCATGAAAATACCGAAGCATTAAACTGCCTCCATGCACATCATTCCCCTGTGAACAATAACACAGAGGGCAGCAACTCCAGACTGCATTAGTACCTAGGCTACACGAAGTGTTTCTGTGACACGACTGTTAACGTGACATGCTTTGATAATGTGACTTCACTTTTACAAATGGCAGTGCATATGCTGCAGCAGGAGTACAAAGGTACCTTGAGATGGGATAAGTTAGCTCCCAAGCCTCAGTAAGCTTATACAGATACATAATATTCTGTTTTAGGAAGGTCTTCTGCTTATCCTTAATGTTAAAACAGCAAAGCTTTATAGGTAAGCCCCAAGACTGGGACCAAAGGCAACTTTAATCCCAACACCCAGTTCTATGAAGAAACTGCATTCCGATGAGAGAGAGACAAAGGGAAAAGGAATGCAAGGAAGCACTCCATATAACAAAGGGGCCTGAAAGCGGGGAGAGAAGAGCGTGTGCTCTAAGCAGGAGGAAGCTATGTGACTCCTTCCAGTGCTGATATTTGCGTTTGCAGGAGGGCTTCAGGTCAGGGACTGATGTGCTGCATGTCATACACAGTGTGCATGGGGCACAGACCCTTTCAGCTGCCCAATAAGCTTGCTGGTTGGGAGCCAGCAAATCCCAGACAGAAGGCACTGCTGTATTCGGAGTTTTCAGGAGGGGCTGATTTGCCTCTGCTGAAACTGAAGGGGAAGACAAAGAACAGAATGCAGCAGTTCAACATCTGGACATATGCATTATTCCACTGTCAACTCCCAGCTGATTTGTGCTCTACCCACAGCCCTAATGCTTCCATGCTGGCTACCTGGGCACCACGAAGACAGGAGTTCTGGCACTAGTGTGTGGGACGCTACTTCCTTAACATGTCTGGAGACAGTTATGGCAAGAGTGAGGATGAGCATGCTCCCTGCAGTGTGCAAAGCCCTGATGTGAGCTTGACACACAGACATAGTACTATCTGTGGCAACCCTTATTTGATAGACTCGAGCTATTTCAGAGCAGGTACATAAAGAAGTTATAGCTCCATGTACAGTTGCACATGCAACATTAATACCTGCTGGGTACTTACATGGCCAAAATGATGTGCCAAGACAATATCCACTATGTTGGTTGTCCAGCCTGAAAACTGAAGAGTGACCATGAATGAGGAGGAGGGACAGTAACTGAAAAATGCAGTTTCGTTACAAATTTCAAAGCAGCAACTCAGAGTAAAGAAAATAACAAAGAAACTATTCAAGTAATATAAGAAACAAATGCCTGAAGCTTGGAATGGGGCTACAAAGAAGCCTGTGCACACACAGCACACAGCTCTCCAGAAACCTGGAACCCTGAAGTTTCCAGCAAGTGGCTGGAATAACAGAGTAATTAGAAGATTCATTCAACATTAGCCAAATGAAGCCTGCAAGTATGAGTATTAAATCAGAGGAAAGCTGAGTGCTCAACAGCCACTCATCTCCAAGCAGTTTACCAGGACTTCTCATTCACATATGATCACATCCACCCCTGCTCCTACACTGGAGGCTGTACTACACCCAGACTGAGAACACAGCAAGGACAGAAATGAGATTGTACAGTTTTTGACATAAACCAAAAAATTCCTGTACTGTGTCCTTTATATTCTTGCTCTACACACTCTTCATTAAGCACTGTGGGGAGGAGATGTGCAGGGGAAGGAGAATCTCACCTTGGATGCTGCCCAGTCGATCCAGCCCTTTGCACATGGATCAACATTAATAAGAACAAGTCCCTCCACCAGGTCGGGGTGGCTGAGCTGTGGGGAGAAACACAGGCACACTAAGGGGGATTCAGCCCACACGTTGGTCAATGGCAGGCACAGCAGCTGGAAAGCTTCTTGCAAAAGGGAGACACAGTAAAATGTGCCAAGCAGCCAGTGGTCTTTCCAGAGCCTGGCCCAAAGCTTGCTCCCTGCTAGACCTTACTTGATTCAGTTGTCAGCACTGAGGGACTGACTGCTCCCACGGCACCGGCAGGCCTCAGCAGTGCCTTCTGGTGCAGCCACAGATCCGGCTCCGGCTCCCATGTACTACAGGGCTGCGAGCAGCGACTCTCTGCTCCAACCTGGCACCTCCAGGAAGGACCCAGACAAACTCCTGTGCATGGAGAGCACCTCCGTTCACTCCTCCAGGAAGAGACAGTCTCCCAGTGGAGATGTCACAAAATTGCAAGATCTGGCAAATGGCACAGAAGTTGGTGCTGAGGCCCTGCAAGCACCTGCAGCCTGAGCAGAGGCCTGGGAAGTCCTAACCTCAGGGGCATCCAGCTCATCAGACACCCCCACACTGCCCCCCAGCACGCAGACACCCCTTGCCCTGCTCCAGCCCAGCATCGCCAGCACCCTGCAGTTTGCCTTAGGGGATGGGGGGGGGGGGTGTGTGGGGACCACTGGTGCAAAATACTTTGAGAACTGCTTGCAAACACAAACCCAGCAATCTAACACAACCAGAGAACTTTGATCTCTAGGCTCACTCCAAAGCTGAAATTTTATGCCAGCCTCTTCTGCTCCATTGTATAGATTAGCACTGGTTAAGAAGAAGGAAACAACTCTGTCCCCAGCAGGAAACTGTCTGCAATCCAGGTAGCATGGCACAAGGGCCTTCTGGTACTTCACTGAGCTGAGGACAAAGGCTTATTTGTGTGATCTTCTCTTTAGCAAGACTGAAAACTACACAAGGCACAAAAGGCAAGGAACAGAGCAAACACCAGTGCTTCAACACTGCCCCAGAGACTCAACCCTGACTGGAAGAAATGGAAAGCAGAGAACTTTTTGTAGGAGGGGCAACTGCATGGTGACATGGCTTTAAGAAGCAACAGTGGCCTAAATCATTGGCAACTCTCTGCACTCTACAACTTGAAGCAAATTTTACTGTGAGTGTCAGATTTCTGTGTTTTGGGTTTTTTTTTTAAACACTATCTCTGAAAGACTCAGGCAAATTCCTGGGCTGCTAAACTTTGTCCACTGCTTTCACACGCTCTCACAGCACTCCACTAGAGAGAAATGTAGAAGTACCAAGATTAAAGCTGGCACACCTGTCCAACCGTGAAGTGCAAAAGCTACTTCCTTCCAGTGAAAAAGGAACCACATTCCTCATCAGCACTGGTTCACAGCACATCACCAAATCAAATTATTTGGTGTCACGAACACTGGAAGCAGCACACAGTAATGCAGCCAGTCTTTGTGAAGACACGCGGCTGGATTTTCCTAGCAGCCAGGATAGGCTCTGCTGACTCAAAGACATCACATTACAATCTTTCCATGTCTGGCACAGCTTCAGAGTAACCTTGGCTGCTCCAATTTAACCATCAGGATGCAAAGTAGCTCTCACATGGCTCCCTGTAGGCCTGCTGTAATTACTGACTGCTACTTTGCCCATGCCCCTCAAATGGTCTGTTTGATCCGTGGAAGACCACAGCTCAAGTCAGTCACACGGAAATGCAGAGATACTTACTGCACACTTGCTGAGGACATAAGCACCAGCTCCCAGTCCAATCCCAATGAAGCTTTTTAGGCTGAAATATAAGCATTTCACAATCAGCAAGGCCAACTTAAGCTCACAGCCAAAGCATCCCTAGAGGCAAAGCCTTTCTCCTCCATCCCCCTGCATCCAGCTGTTCACTTATGGTTCATTTTCAAAACGTTCCAACCATAAATTGTCTCATGTGTCAGACAACGTTCCCAGCATAAGAACCAGACAGGGCTACACAGTTTAGGAGATGCTCAGGCCTCCTGGGACAACTGAGTGAGCATATCAGATGTTACATGCAGAGATACAGAGGTAGGTGCTGAAATGGACGTATCCAGCTGGCTCACCCCATTTCCTTTCAGAGACTTACTTCAGGTGTGTCAGAACAGCAGGCAGCATTTCAGCCAGTTCATCCATACTGGGATACTGGTACCTGAAAACCAAGAGAGACTGAAATCAAAGCACCTCCAAATCAGCTCGGCAGAGGTTACCTTCCAGTTCTACTCAAGGTAGGAGACACAAAGAACATCTGGCAAGCACGTGCACAGATGATTATTTTGCAGTGATACTGTATATTCCAGCCAACTGCATGGATCCCATCCCTCAGAGCAAGACTAACACAGAGCTGTGGTTTTTGGGGCAGACTTCTGTGGGAGGATGGACAGATGAAGCAAGGAACACCAGTTACACTGGGCTCATGTTCAAGTCAGAAAGCTGGTACCAGCACTCAGCACTAGTGAGGGCTTTACTCATGCATCAGTAATAGCAGAGTTCCCTGAACACCTCTTGGGAAGCCTCCTCATCTTCCCATTTCCTCTGCTCCGGAAAGCTGCCTCCCACTACACTCATCCTGGAAGTCCCAGTTGGTTTAAACTGGGTGCTACCTCAGTCCAGACCACATCTAGAACAAGGGCCTCTGCAGAGCTCTTACCCAGATGGGAATGGAGGGGCTCCTTCCTGCTGGCCTGGTGCATCCACATGGCACACAGCAAAATGCTGAGTGATCTCCTGCATGTCTTCGAAGTTAAAGAATGTGTTAAAACAGGATTTGTCTACAACAACAAAAAAACAAATGAAACATTTCCTTAAGTTTTATTGCGATCCACCCTCCAAACACCACAGGACACACCTGTATGACCCAACACGCCTGATGAGTCTGTGGGGCAGTGGATGCTGAGCGATGCACGCTGCTGCACCCCCCTGACTGCAACGCAGCAGTGAGTCCTAGCAAAGTAACTATCACGACTGGTGAGCAGGCAGACAAATGACACCCCAGCATGCATGCCCAGAAAAATAGGGCTTTGCAACACTTGGGTACTCACAGGACATGCTGAGGAGCACCTGTGTGAACATAACAGTACATGTTGGGTGGGAAGACATGTGGAAAGAGCAAATGAGCCCACTAGAAGCACTCCACTACTTCTGCAGCATTGTAGAAGGGACCTGCTCAGCATCCAGGGAACAGATGCCTTGTGGCAGCTCTATCAAACAGTGCAAGAAGTCAGCTAGAGCACTACAGTACGGTGAGTGGACCTATTTCCACCTTTCTGCCCTGGCCCTACATTTCAAGGGCTGTTGGAATGGACAGGGGCGTGCCACATGCTCTCTCTCCTGCAGACCTTTATCTTTTTACCCTGGAATGACCTGTCTCGTCTCAGCTCCAGGCCAGTCCTGCTGGTCCCCACACTCAAAAGCAAATACCACAAACAACCACTTTTTCAGGGTCCTGAGAATGCAAGGGCTTACGGTTGAGGCCAATGTCATGGTATGTGAGGATGACAGGTCTGTTCCCCTTGGGCGTGCCCCGCATGGTGACATGGACCACTCCAAAAGCTGTCTCAATGTCATGTTCCTGCAGAGAAAGAAGAAGGAGCCTCAGCATTACGTGTGCTGCCTACGCTACAGGGAACCCTAACTGAGGGACAACAGCAAGGGCCTCATCCACACTTTGACATTGCACTCCTACCCACAGCTGGTGGCTCAGCACAGCTCTTGCAATCTGCAACCCTGTCAAATATCTCTCTCGAACCACTGCCAAGAACAGGTTGCTTTTGTACAGATGTGTGAAGGGTTTGGGGGTTGTGTCCTCCTGTGACCAAGATCTCATTTCAGTGGCCTTCAGTGATGCTGCTGCACCACAGCAGATGCCGGGTGTCATGTGTCCATCTATCTCTAGGGGTTCATACCGTCCTGAATACAGCTCCACTCCCACAGCCAAGCCCTCACTCCCCAGCTGGCATCCCTCTCCCACTGAGAGGGATGACTGAGAACCGTGCCTTAACCAAACGCTTTTTTTCCTTGCTACCAGGTTTGGTAATTTGACAGTAAAACACCCTTAGGGTCCTCCAGCAGCTGGCAAAGATACAGGAGGTTATGCCTGTTTCCAGCTGGGTATCTGGTGGAGCAGTTTTGTGACCTGTTTCACGATTATTTGCCAGCAAAACTACGTGCCTTTTCCCAAGTAAAATATTGAGGGTTTTTTGCACTGTGCCTTGCATAAGAGAGCAAGAGAACCATGAGACCTCTGGGTACCGCTCCAATGCTTGTCCAGTGCAGAAACAGAAGTCATGACCTCACAATGACGAGCACTGAAGTGCCCATGAAGTTGTCTGAGTTTAACTAAAATAGCTGCAAACACATTTAGACAAACACTGATCTGAGATAACTATGGACTTTGGGAAAGCTGCAGAGATGGTAGTAAGGCTGGGTACACAATGTCATCTGGAAGTTGCTTCTCTCATCTACAGAAATCAAAGAAGAAACATGCTCTGACTTACAGACACTGTAAAAAACACCAATCATTTTCCTGATATTAAAAAAATATCTGCTTAGGGAGTAGCCTCATGGTCAGATGGAAGACAGGACATTACAACCTCAAAAATATTTTTTACTAGTTTACCCAAAGTATGTGAACTTTTTTTTAAACAGTAATTTTCAATAACCTGAAAATGATTACACCAAATACAAGATAGGTGAGAGTACTTGCCTTGCAGCACGACAGAAATTCACCTTGCCGCTCCTTTCTGGGCACTCCCAAGGGCTGGCTGGGAGCCAGACTGATTTAGTTCTTGCAGTGAAAGATCCTCCTCCCTGCAGCTGTACTTCTTTTCTGGGGCTCCAAAGCCTAAGCCTCTCTCCCCTTCCCCCAGAATGTGGCAACAGGAGCAAGCTGTCACATCCAAACCACCCAAGGTAGCCTGGAGCCTTCTCCAGCTTGGCTTTCAAGGATAAAAAGACACCTCTGACTGCCCTTGTCTTCAGAAACAGATTGGGTTTTAGTTGCACACAGATGTTGCATTGTGCACGTTCTGAGGCCGGAGTACCTACAAAGCAGCAGTGACCCGCCTGCACCAGGGGCAGGCAGGAGAATAAGGCAGGTGAGGTGATCCAGCTTGATGCTCACCTGTCTCCCGTTTCCTCAGGAGGGGGCTGTGGGCCAAGGCATACTGAGCAGGTAGGAAACAACTAGTCCCTGTGTGCAAAGTGAGGCTAAGTCCACACAGCAGGACTGCCTGCCCTTGCAGCAAAGGTGCACAGGGAAGCCCAGGGCACAGACTCTGTCTCCTGAGCCTCGAGAAAACCAACAGGCTCTGACCTTTGCCCGTTTTGGCTCTCTGGGCTGCTCTGCTGAGCTGGGCTAAGTCCTGTTTTGTACTCCAACAGGACGTGGTGTGCAGCCATATCAGTGGCCTCAGTGGCCTGCAGTGTTCTCCAAGTTCGCAGGTGGTAAGGAGTCCTTTAACAGAAGCAGCAACTTTTGGATGAGGCCAATGGTGGCAATTGGCAGTATACGTGGCTGAAATGGCAAAGCACGGCAAACTCACGGAAGAGCCCAGCAAGTGCCAAAGCAGGAGCTTGCAATCCCCGGCTGCACTTCCCTACGCATCTGAGCTAACCAGGTGGTTGGCTGCCATGAAAAGCTGGTGAATCTGCCAGCTCTGGCAGTTACTGGTCTCTTCCAAAAGCAGCTTCAACTCATTGACTTGGCAGGAAACTACCCAACTACCCAGCTGACTTTTTGGTTTGTTTGGTTTTGGGGTTTTGGTTTTTTTTTTTAATCTTTGTTAGATTTCTGCCAGCTCAGTGAGTCAAGAAACTCACAGAGAGGTTTTGCAAATGCTGGTTTTGGCTCTGAGCATGGGGTGGTAGAAGAAATAACACTGCTCTGAGCATGAGGCCAGTTGAACTGACTCATGTCTCATGACACTGCACCTCCAGAGGACTAGGAAGGGTTTTATAAGCAGCAGCAAAAGGTTGACCATCAAACAGAAGCACAAAACCCAAACTGAGACAACAGTGAGGAAACCACAGAAATCAACAAAAGAGATGATGATATTTTAAAAAGTCAGTAATACAGTGTCTTTTCTGGAATTACATTCAAGCTTACTGCTAAGGTCACACATCGTAGAATATTGGACTAGGTACTAGAAACAGAAACATCTACCTCTCTTCAGAGCTTTTTTTTAAGCACCTCAATGTGCTTCATATTGCAACACTCTGCATTTTTGTTTTCTGAAGTTGAGCCTGGGTCCTGGCTCTCTAGTAGGGAAGGAAAAGATTTTCCTTGGGCTAAAAATCAATTCTTGGTCTCCCACTTACTTTGGCTTTGCAGATTGTATAAACTCTGATTTGGGGAAATGAGTTTGTCGAGAAGAGCGTTTTCATGGCAGCAGCGGGCACCAGCCTAATCAGAAGGGTACTCACCTCGCTACTCCTTCAACCACATTCGTCATTCAAATACAGGGAGTGTCCACTGAAGGTGGAAGCAACTTGAAAAATCCCATTTTTAACAAATCTCAGTGAGCAGCAGTTTAAAAAAATTAAGATGCTAAATCTGCAAACTTCTTACTCTGTCCTGCACAGTGGCACAGCCTTGGAACGGGAGTGTTTAAGGTCATTTCCTTTTTATCTCGCTAGTTCCCACGCAAAGTGGAAATCCTCCTCCTGGGAAGCAGCTTCCCTTTTCTGCTTCCTCTGGTTAAAGACTTACTTTTTTAAGGCTTTTTCCAAGTTCTACAAAGTGAGTAACAGACACCGCATTCAAGATAAGAGGTTTCCACATTCCATTCACTTTTTAAGCTACAGATTGCAATATCATGCTGATCTCTTTCTCAAGATTACCTGGAGACATAAGACTTTTATCCCTACAGGTAATTCTATGTCCAGTGAACTTTACTTTCTCTGAAACTTTGCCCTGTAGCTTTAGGGCTTTTATCTTGATCTGTGATTGCAAAGAACATTTTCAGGCATCACACAATTACAGCACACGACTTCCCTGCCACCTGCTTTTTTCCAAAACAGCTCTCCCACACACCAAAGCCAAAGGATAGCATGAGATAGGCGCTTAATGCAGAGCTTAGGTATCATGCTTAAGATGGCAATGACAATCTCTACACCTGTAAGACACAACTACTACATTGAATTGGCCAAAAAAAAAAATTTCATTACATCATCACTGGTTTATTACTCTTCCAAACATGGAGTTACAAACACGGAGTTACTGGGTCTTCCCAACCCAGTTACAGTGGGTACCAGAGTACTCAGTGAGAGAACAGCAGTTTCACAGGCTGCATCCTCTGCCCTTGCCAAACACACTTTCTTCACATCTTCTTGTAGATAAGCCTTCCCTGCCAGCCACCCAGGGAGATGTCCTGCCTGTGTCACACTGCCTCTGTAACTGCTGCCCATCTGTAATTCTGCATATTCACTCCCGGTATTTGCCCAATGCTCACATAGAAATGTCGTGTTAGAAAGTATCAGACACTTGTCATCTTTACCTCTCAGGCACTGGCACCCTTTGTTTCTGGTCTCTGTTCAGGCCAGCTGTGACACACTGCAGCAGTATAGCTTGAACAGAGATTCAGGGATTGTTACCTTGCAGCTAACTCCAGCTATGGTCTGAACAGTGATCTGGTCCATAGTGCAGGCAAGCAGTGAGAGGAGAAGGCAGGTAGTAAAGATGTGGCCAGGAGACAGCCAGATTTTAACAAATGTGCAGTCTGCAAAATAAGGGAGATGAATGCAAGAGAGGATGACGATCTGCAGTTGTGGTTTGTAAAGCTTGATTAAATTTAATTTTCACTTAGGGATTGGAAACTTTATCAGAGGTTTCTCTGAAAAGATTTTATCTTCTGCTCTTGTTCGTACAGTAGGTAAAAAATAAATAGCAGCTGCAGACAATCTGCTGTAAACAGGAACTCAACAGCAGAGGCAGCCTTGCTCTCGGCAGCCTGCTCTCTCTGACCACAGGCACAAAGCTTGTGACACACACGTGCCAAACAGCAGCGTGCTGCTGGGGAGACAGAACAGAGACACGAGTCCTGTGCAGGCAGCTACTATTTATCAAATCAGATAAGATGGGAACCATTGCTTCAAAAACTAGCAGTTTCCTTGGGGCATGGATGAGAAGAGCGATGATGGAGGAGGATCAATAAGGTATGGAGACCAGCTGTAGCTGGTCAGACCAGAGGACAAGCTAGCCTTCTAGTCTGATTTCAAGAGCAAGTGCTTGTGGAAGAAAAAAATAGAGCAAGCATGTAGTGATAGCTCCTCAAACACCTGCATCTTGTAACAGTTTCCCTGAATTTTCCCAACCTCCGACAATCTGTAGGTCAAAAGAGACTTCCTGAACTGAAGGCATGATCTTCACTTTGACTTTCTCTTCTGAGAACTGGGCAGTCAACCCCTGCTACTTGTGCCTTTGGCATCTGCCCCACACTCTGACCAGAAAAGCCAAAGGTTAACAACGTGCAGGGTCAAGAACCACTTTGTTCCCCATCTTGTATCTGCTGGTTTTACATGAGGTCCCCCCGCCCTTGGTTTGGAAGGTAGAGAACAACCGATCTAATTTCC